TCCTTCTTCCCTCCCTCCCTTCCTCCCTTTCTTCCTTCCTTTCTTCCTTCTCTCTCTCTTTCTTTCATCTCTTTGAGGCAAGGTCTCACTATGCAGTCCAGCCTAGCATAGAAGTCCCAGTGATCCTCCTGCCTCAGCCTCCCAAGTGCTGGGATAATACATGTGCACCACCACACCTGGCCATCCCATTGTCTATCATCAATCTGTCTATCACATATCATAATTCCTTTTATTTTTATTTTATTTTTTTATTTTTTGTCTTTTTGAGACAGGCTCTCGCTGTGCAATTCAGGTCGGCCATGAGCTCACTTTGTAGCTCAGGCTGGCCTCGAACTCACAACAATCCTCCTGCCTCACCCTCCTGAGTTCTGGGGTTACAAGTACGCGCCACTAGGCCCGGCTAGCATTTTCTTTTTATGCTAAAACACATTAGACTACCTTGGGGGCTTCGGTAAGGGGGAGGGACTGTTTCATCTCATGGGCAGGTGTGTCCCTGTCGGCGATGAAAACCTCATGGAATTAGACAGAGGTGTTGATGTACCAAATGCCCCTGAAGTGCTCATCACAACAAGCGCATCATGATTGCAGCTCAGAAATATTAAAAATAAATCACCATGGTGGCGCACGCCTGTCTTCCCAGCACTCTGGGAGGCTGAGGCGGGAGGCTCTCAGGTGCAGCCCAGCCTGGGCAACTGAGTGACTTAGTGAGACTCTGCCTCAAAATAAAAAATTAAAAAGGGGCTGAGGGTAGAGCTCGATGTGAAGGCCGTGGGTCCCATCCCCCGTGGTGCAGCAGAGGGGAAGAAGGAAGGAGGGAGGGAGGGACTGACAGACAGAGGGAGGAGGGAGGGAAGAGGAGACCGTAGAATTTTTCTGGGGACAGAGTTCTGGGAAGCCAAGGGCCCCGGCCGCCCCTAACCCTAGCTGTAAGCGTCCGGTGGCCTCAGCACTCCAGCAGGACGCAGATCTGGGGTGAGGACGGCAGCGGCGTCAGGGGACGGAGGGAATTCATCTCCTCACCTTCACACCGAGCTCCATCCCCGGCCCGTACTGAAGGATCGATGAGTGATTCATTGATTGCTTTGATTTTGAGACAGGGTCTTTCTAAGTCATTGTGCTCCTTAGGCTGACCTCAAACATGTCTGCCTCAGCCTCCCAGAGAGCTGGGGTGGCAGGCGGGCACCACCACCCCTGCCTCATTTCTGCGGTTCTAGGCCCCGGTTTATGGTGGTCAGAAGTATTGACTGACAACCAGCCCTTCTTCTTGTTTCAACCACTCTATGCGTCCCTCCATTCTGCCGTCCACCCACCCATACATCCACCATGTATCCATCCACCCACTGCCAAGCTACCCACCCACCTATTCACTCACCCACCCAGTCATGCACCCATTATCCACCCATCCACCCATCCATCCATCCATCCATCCACCCATCCATCCATCCATCCATCCACCCATCCATCCACCCATCCACCCATCCATCCACCCATC